TCGTGTAGGTCTGGACTGGGCAAGCTCCATGGCAGATATTCTTCGATCTTTGAACTCTTCTGCGCAGTGGCATAATGTGATCGCTGCTTTCACTGACCATTGCATTAAGCAACTGCCCTTCCAGCTAAAGCACACCAATATCTTCACTTTATTGGTGCTGGTTGGGTTTCCTGAGGTAAGTGGCCTATTGATACTAAAGGAAACAAAATTGGTTAGAGCTTTTAGGTTTCTATTTCTAAATACTATGGATTTCATCAATTGGGGACATCCATTATAAACTGTCAAAACACGGTGTATGTCAGAGTTCACATCTTTCCACTTGCGCACAATTAATGTTTGTCTAATGAAGAATAAGGTAGCTGGTTTTGCCTTGTATTTCTTTGAGTGCTATTTTTAACTGTCATGAGAAAACCAGCTTAGTATGTTTGAGTATCGAAAAGGGCTTTTTATACAAGCGAAACAATCCAATCTCACTCTTGATAGTCATAACTCTGATATATTGCCTATGTAGCATTGCGTTGGTTGTTGTGGGCATTTTTTTATAGAAGTGAACTGCCATTTTCTAAAGATCAGCAAACACCTGGCAGCGAGCAGATTATTCAGCTAAAAAAATTCAGTACCAAGCATAAGCAAATGTAACCAATATAAAAGATGGCTATGTATTTACAAGTAAGTATTCCAAACCATAACTGAAACTTTTGCTGCAATTTCAGGTGCTGTGTATGGGGACTCGTTCTGTGTACATGGATAATGCTAATGAGCCTCATAACGTGATCATCCTGAAGCATTTCACAGAGAAAAACAGGGCAGTTGTAGTAGACATCAAAACCCGAAAGAGAAAAACAGGTTCTGCGACACTTTTATTTTATCAAAGAATCACAGAGTATTTTTGTACAGTTTCTTATGGATACCCAAAAGCATATCTTAACTAGACCACTTTGTGTAGGTCTGCAGAGTTTGAATTCCGTTATTAGTAAGTCACCTGATTTTCTGCTCGTAGGTCAAACCAAATTGTGAAGCTTCTGCAATAAAGGTTGTGGAGACTCATTTTTTTTTTTAAAACTCTGACTTTTTTTTTTTTTTCTTTTCAGAAAAGGATTCAGGAAACTGTTGAGAGCATTTTATTAATTGAGAAATCTCAGAAATAGGCTTTTGATTAAGCAATTGTTTCTGTTTTGAGATTTGCTTACTGCTTGTGTCTTATCCTTTGCAAACACGTACTTAATGTTTTAAAATGGTTGCAAATTTAAAAAATGCACATGCTGCCTCTGTGTAGTTAGGTGCTGTGTATAAAGGAAAGGTACTCAGAGCCTGCATGTTTTTGGGATAGTCCATTTTGTTGCTCCAGAAATACTCTGCATTTTTGTGAAGTGCCTGTTTCCACTGTGGGCAAGATGTGCTACCTACTAGCAAATGACGATTAAGAACAAATGCAAACATACCCAATATTGACTGGCTGCTTCTGAAATGATGCTGTGTTGACTGTTTGGCCCTGTAAAAAAGCATACCATGAGGACAGGCCTAACTTCTTTAATCATGTGCTTTATAAGATGTCAGGAGTCTTATCTTCTCTTCTTTCCCCCTGACTGGAAGAACTTTTCAAAACAGTTTGAATACCCCTAAAATTTGAGACAGAAATGTAAAAAAGTGTTATACAGCATGACTTAGAGTATACTTCAGGGAATGTGTCTGGGTATTTTGGAATAGTTCGTTCTAGGGCATATCAGTAGAGTGTGGTGGCTTTTATGGTGTCTAAAGGCTATTAAAAAAACCCCAACAACAAAACCCCAAAGCTAGACACTGCCTCCTGGGTCCCATTTCTTGTACCAGAGAGAATTTTCTTCCTATATGTCACTTTTAAGAGTTCAGTCAAACTAAACATTTAACACATAACAAATCAGTTGGATTTCTAGGAACGGGGGCTTTCAGCTTTGGCATACGTGACCTAATATTGAGAAGATGATAAAGCAAAGGTTGTCCTAAGATTTGACTATTGAAGTTGTTTAAAAGACACTTGGAAAAATCAACAGACTAAGCCGCTTTTTGATATTGAAGAAAGATTTGAATGTTAAAGTTTTTTGGGTTTTGGGTTGGGGTTTTTTTTTTTTTTTACTGTTCACATTTTAAACAGTAAGATCTGCAAGATTTATTGTCATACCAATTGCAGGTCAGAATGTTCCCTATTTTAACTGTAAAATACAACACATGCTGCTTTGTATGCTGGACTGTTCATGTGCAAATATGTGCAGACAATCAGCTGTTGCCAGAAGTTACCTAGGGATTTTTTTAACCTGCACTGAAAAATGAATTATTTTCTTGACTATTCAGTGAATCTGAGATAACTTCAGTACAAGAGCAGATAGGGAGTTCTTTGACAGTCTCTTTAATATGACTGTGTTTATTAGAAGGTACTTCATGTATGGATCATGTTCATGTCTGTGCCTACTCATATCTATTGGTAGGAGATGATTTCACAACGTTTTAAGATGAACCTAGTGAATTATGTGTTTTCTCTCTTGTAGTGAAAGACTACCAGTTGATTCAGAAGTGCGGACAAGAAGGCAGTGATCCCCAGACCCAGCTGAGACAGTACCTCCAGCACTTCGTTCTTATATCCACGCACCTCCTGCAAACCAGCATGGACAGTAGCTATGCTGAGGCAGTGGAAGCAACTTGGGTCTTGTCACTCGCTCTAAAGGGGCTTTACAGAACACTTAAGGTATCTTTTGCCTGACGCGCAGAATATAATAGATAAATAAAAGTTTGTATTCTGCTTTGCACTACAGGAACTTGGATATTGACCAAGCACATTGGGGAACTAACACAAGTTGGTTTCCCTCACAGCTGGCTCCTTTTATCCCCTGTCTGTAGGGGGCTGAAAATGTCGTAAGGCTTTAAATGGCATTCGTGAGTCTAAGTTGAAAGTTGGATCGCTTTTCCTTTGTGGGGGCTGACCATTCATGAAAGCTGAGGAAGATATTTATAGGGATAACACTTCATGGAGTGAAGCTTACTTGCCCCTTTTCTTACTCCTGAAGTAATTGAAGAGGGGATCTGTATTTTTCTGGACTGTCAGAACAAAACAGACATCCAGTTATTATTCTGTGTGTGTCATAGATAATACTCTTAAGGCATGTGATGTAGGGATTTATGCTTTGGGGTGGTGGTTTTTTTTTTTTTTTTTAGGGAAATGAAAGAAGAAAATCCCTACCATAGTTCATCTGGGCAGGAATTTTATGTGAGGCCATGTGATAAGGCCTTTCAAGCTTTGTGATGTATTGTTCCCTATTTATTTATTTACTTGCATCTGTCTGTGTAGATTCATGGTTTTAAGGAGATCCAAGCTGCCTTTCTTCAGTCTGGTTTACTCAAGCTTCTAGTGAAGAAATGTAGCAAAGGAACTGGCTTCAGTAAGACCTGGCTTCTCAGAGACTTGGAGGTAAGAAAATAAATTACATTTTGTAAACAGTCAGGCTTCACACAGAGGCACGGAAGGTCACGGCATTGCACTTCCCTCTTGTGAAGAAAGCCTCAAGAGTATTTCTAATCAGTCTTTATAAAAATGTTCACTTAGCTGTGTCCCTGAATCTGCCTTCCTCTGTCCATCGTAATGGTATAGGTAATAGACTAACTTCTTTAAAGCAGGACCTGATTTTAATTAATCTGATCATATTTGAAAGACATTTTGAAGGTGAGGCATTAATCACCTACTCAGTTTCTTTTATGAATTTTACTTAGACTGTTCTTGAAAATTCCATTCTTCAATCTAAAAAAAATAATAATCAATCTCAAAGAAAAACATTACTTGCACTAGTCACAGACTTTACAAGATACTATCGCAGTGCAATATGGGGAGATCAATTTGCATGTGGGCACGTTCTTTCTGAATGTTCATTAATTGCTGGAAGGTAAGTGTGATTCAGCTGTCAGTTATGTTTTATCATAGGCAAGAGTTGTGTTAATTTGTACTTTAGATGGTAGCAACAAGAGAGAGAGTAAAGCCCTGGCATTCCTCTGAAAAGTTGCCCCAAGTGGCTGGTTAGAAATACTGCAGAATCAGATCTGGACTGTGGGACCTTGCTGTCTTCTGACCTACAGCCAGAGAACCAGCCCTGATTCAGAGGTGTCCCACTTTCCTCCCCTTTGGGCAGCATTGTACCAAACGAATGCTCTGCCCTGAGCACTGAAATGTCTCACCATAGTTCTGCCTGCATTATTCCTTGGAACTGAGGCTGACGCAAGTTGGAGGACTAAGGAAGTGCGTAACACTATTTTCTTCCTGCTCTGAGTACAAGTGGTGTTGGCTGTGCCGAAGCCAACGGTACATTTTCAAAGGAGAAGCGTGTGTAGGGGCATCACTGGCTTTTTGGTGATAGTCACCTCTGCTCTGTTCTTGTCTAAGAATCCTCAAAACTTTGATGTACTGAAATGGTTAAATAATTATTTTCTCAATTTTTTACGCTTTTGACTAATCACTTAAGTTGACTGTGTAGCATCCTGGAAGGTGTAACTCATTTGTGAAGTAGGAAATGGTATGGTTTTATGTTTTGTTTTTTGGGGGTTTTTTCTTTCTTATTTTTAGGTGCTGCTTCTTTTTAGAATAGCATGTGTTTAAGCACTGTCCAAATCTTCTAATGTTCTTATAAAATGCTGATTGCAGATACACTAATAATATCTACAGCTGTCACACCATATGCTATCTTTCTGTGTAGATTTTGTCAATCATGCTGTATTCCTCAAAGAAAGAGATCAGTTCCTTAGCTGAACGTGAGGATACTGAACTGGAAGAAAGGGAACAAGATCAAGATGTGGAGCAACCCATTGTCGGTCCTGTTGATTTAGAGCAGAACAAACTTGATCCTCTGGAGGGTTTGGATGAAGCCACCAAAATATGCTTCTTGGTACTTAAACTTATTTTTACCTCCTGTGAATTTCCTAGTTGCATAAAATATTTGGTAGTTTATATAGCTGTTTTTCTTCTAAATTTACAGAATATGGGTCTATGATTTCAATGTATCGTTATCTAAAGGAAACAAAACTTCCTACTAGGACTTCAGTAATGAACACTACAAAATCATTATAAAGCTTTTTGCTAAATTACTTTTCATTTTTACTAATCCAGATATTATTAAGTTCATTAATTCTCTACCTATATGATAAGTGGGAAAATAATACTTAGTCATCTTTAAAGAAAGGAAATACCTAGGTCATCTTTCTTTTTCCCCTGTAAAGTTATATTTTTCTTTCTTTTTTTTCTTCTTTTATTTTCCCCCTCCTTACTTAGATGACACATGATGCACTTAATGCCCCTCTCCATATTCTTCGAGCCATGTATGAGTTGCAAATGAAAAGAACAGATTCTTTTTTCCTGGAAGTTCAAAAGAGGTATGTGAAAGACTGGGTCCAGCAGAAAAACAAAGTTACTAGGTGTGGGTGGTAACCTAAAATCTAATAGATATCAAATAGAAATTATGCCAAGGATACGACTTGGTTTTCATGTGTGACAATGCAAAGAAATAAACTACTACTAAGTTGTATTTATGGAAATGAGTCACCATCTTGTGAAATATGTTGCACGTTCTTTTCAATCTAACTCTTGTATGAAGATCTACTATGTCTCTAAATTATCCAGATTGAGGAAGAATGGACAGCTTACCCGTGGCTTCTAGTAATCAAGGTCGTGGAGCCACCATGTTCTCAGAGATGAGTGATTTTGTAACGTGGAAAATCTTTGACCTGTTAGAATAGGAAAGCTAGTTAACGTAAAATGATAAAAATAGGTAGAGTTTAATGAATCTTTCTAAAGCAGAAGGTAAGAAGATTAATTTGCATTTAATTGCACTAATTTAGTTTGCATTACTTTCTAAACACGTTTGTGGGGGTTTTTTTGTTGTTGTTCTTTTGCGTCTTTCAAGGTTTGATGGGGATGTAATTACAACAGATGAGAGGATCCGAACGCTGGCTCAGAAATGGCAACCCAGCAAGCGTCTGAGGTTGGAGGAGCAGAGTTCAAAAGCAGTAGATACAGATATGATCATCTTACCCTGTTTGGTACGTGCATCTCCACAAAAAGGAGTAGTTGTGAAATAATGAATTTTGGCATTGAATAACTTTTTTTTTTTTGCTTAGTAACTTCAAACCTGATACTCTTTTTTAAACATCTAAAATAATCTGTTGTTAATGTTTTATGTCAAAATGAACAAGAAGGAAGTATTTCTTCCTCGTAATTTCTTCCTTAAGGAAGTAAGAGAACTTGATTCTCGAGTCAGGAGAACAAATTGTGATTGTGGGCTGCAATTTCCTCTCCTTGTACAAGAGAGATTGTATCTAATTACTGTAAGCTTATGCCTAGGTGTTACTGGTTTAGCATATTATTGTTATCTTACAGTAATTTTAGCAGAACAAGGAAGTAATGAATTTGTCTTGTAAAGTAGACACTATACTTGCAAGTTTGAGGTTTTGCATTCAATAGCATGGTCCCACAGCTCTGATTTATTTTGGGTGCAGACTCCTGTCTGTGTGGTATCACCAGCACAGTTGTGTATCAGTTGCATAGCAAACTGCATCAAGGGCTTCCTGAAGTAGTTTTATTATAAAAAAAAAAAAAAAAAAAAAAAAAGCCTTACAACACTCATACAGATGCTGTGAAATATCCACCCCTGGAAATTCTCAAAACTTAACTGGACAAAACCTTGATTTTGGAGTTGGCTCAGTTTTAAGTCAGATTTGGACTGAATGATCTCCAAAAGTCACTCCCAACTTGCCTCATTCTGTGTCAGAAATAGCATAGCATTTTGGTGCTTTACCTCTGTAGGTCAGCTTAAATTAAGGCTTCTGGTTAGAATTCTAACTGCTGTTTCTGCTCATGTGTAGAGTCATGAATGCATTGGTGTATAGTGAAGTCTGTTAACATAAACAGTCTTTTTGAGGAATTCTGTCCCTGTAGGTACGTGAGAGATCACGCTTTTGTGTTCGCATTTGATTTTCAGTATGTGAAAGACAAATTCATTTGTAAATTCAGCTTGCTGTCTGATGTTCTGATCAGATAACCAAACATAAGGAAGTAAATTGTTGAGAGCCTATTTTCAAACTTGCATTTCTTTTTTGCAGTCAAAGCCTGCGCTCTGTGATAAAGCAACAGAAGAAACCAATCCAGTTGCCCAGAAACTGATAACCAACACAGAGAGTGATCTACAGCTTAGTTACGCCAAGCAACGCCGCACGAAGAGTTCAATACTCTTGCACAAGGAGCTGGACTCCAGAAGTAAAAAGGCTGTGAGGGACTACCTGTATCGTGTAAATGAGGCAACTGCTGTTCTTTATGCCAGGCATGTGCTGGCATCATTGTTAGCCGAGTGGCCAGATGATGTGGCAATAAATGAGGAAATCCTTGATCTTAGTGGCCCAGCCCATATGACATACATACTGGACATGCTTATGCAGCTAGAGGAAAAGCAATTATGGGAAAAAGTAAGTGGATTTCACTTATGCATGCGAATAAGCCCTGTGCCTACATGCCACGAGGCTCTGACTAACAAAAATACTTGCAGTTCCTTTTTTAAACTAAATTGAAACTCTAAAATTTAAATTAGTCCTGAAAAAGCAGTTGGAATCTGTCAGTGTCTTAATGTACTGGTTTTGTTAACAGAAAATGGAAAAACTAGCTCTGTGGAGACAAGTCTTTGAGTTATAAAAGAGCTATGTGGGAAAATAAATCTTACAGAGAAATTGGTGAAATAGGCAGTCCGTTTTGAAAGCTGCTTTTTGTTAGATCTCAATGTGTATATTGTAATACCTGCTACTCCGTTGATGAGCTGACTGCTGCTGTGGTGGAAGTGATCTTGAGATTATAATAGAATGTTGTAATGAAAATGTCAGCTCAATGCTTCACAGCAGTCGAAGCAAATCAAGTGCTGGGTATTTTCAAAGTGGGAATTAAAAAGAAAACAGAAGGCATTGATATGCCACTGAACCAATAGTACGCTCTCATCTGGACTACAGTATGTGACCTGACTCCCTCATCTCTTTAAAAAAATAAAAAAATAATGCAGTACAACTGGAAGAGGTCTGGAGAAAAGTGGCAGGAGTTATAACCATGGAATAATGTCAGTATGAGGAGCCAACTAGTTTTCTTCATCCCGGATCTTTGCCCTGTGGGGGCCTGGGGGAAGGAGGAATAATGAAAAAGTCTGTTCCTCCTTCTCTGTAGTTTTGAAACAGTAAGCAGCATCCAAAAGTTAAACACCAAGTATTATTCACTGGCCCTCCCAGTAAGGAAACAAAGGAGTGTCAGATTAAGGTAGTAAGTGGCAGGTCCAAAACAAACTGAAAGAACTGGTTCTTGACACAGTATGTCATGGAAATTGTTGCCACAGGGTGTTTATATAGGTTCAGAAAATGACAGGATGAACTGATGTAATAAAAATCTGCTAAGGCATATTAAATACAAAGACATAGCCTTTGTCTCGGGCTATTCTGCAAGTGTGTTGAGGCAAAGAATACATTCAGGGAATTATGCTACATGCTGCCTTTTGGTGTTTAAGCCCCTTTCCCCCAAGAAATCCATTTCTGGCTGATGTGGAGATGAACCATTTGGCCTGAGCTTGCTTTGTGTTTTATAGGAGTTAGAAAATTCAGATGAGGAGATGGAATAGGTTGCTATAATGATCTGTAAAGGGCCTTGAGTAGCAGTACCCCTCATTAAGAGCTTTTGTGTGCTTTTGAAAAACTAAGAAAAAGTGGAGATCAAGGTTGTTCTGAATTATCATTTACTGTGTCCTGATAGATTAAATGGCATTTATTTGTATTTTTAAAGATGCAGCTCTTGCATGTAGTGCTTTCAAACACTGCAGCCACTTAACTGATACTTAATTGTTCCTTTTTATACATGGAGTTGTACATTTTCCAGGCTAAAACATATGACGCGTTCTGTTCAAATCAAAACCTGTAGGTATAGAAGGTAGAGGTATCTGTTTAGTATGTTAACAAACTTTATCTTCCCTGTTTACAGCTTTAGTTTACTATTAATTACTTTAGGGATTTGTGAAAAGAGATGTAGCTAATAGCTCTCAATTGTTTTTGTCAGATAAAGACTGAAAGATCTGAAACAGAGGACAGAGTAAAATCTTCTGCACTTATGATGATGACGCTTTTAGACACCATTTGTGAATTTGTCTAGTTTCTTGCCAGTAGCTCAATTCTTTCTTCTAAAATGAGTCTTGTGTCAGTCATCAGCATCTAAGTTTGTAAATGTTGTTTTGATAGCAAACTGTATTTACGTGACGTGTTGCTTCTCCCCAGATTCTACAGAAAGTACTGCATGGGTGCAGTGAGAGCATGCTAGGAACAATGGCGTTGACAGCTTGCCAGTTCATGGAGGAACCTGGAATGGCAGTCCAAACACGTGAATCTAAACATCCTTACAACAACAATACTAATTTTGAGGTAAGTTATACATGTATTACAGTGCAGTGGATTTGCATGACTTGAAGACTAGTGGAAAAATATTAGTGTACCATGTGTGTACCTGTACTTCTGTGCCTGAAGCTCCTGCGAAATGTCCTCCTCCGTCTTGCTTTCGAAGAGGCTGATGCCAAATGACTGAGGCCTTGCTCAGTAAGAAATACGTTCAGTGAGGCACTTTAACGTAGTCCTAATTCAATCACGTGAAAAGCGCATAACTGAAATGGTTTTACTATGTGTGTGTTTGAAGGAGATCATATACTTAAATGGTTTCAGGGCCTTAATGAGCAAATATTTCTACCCTTTCATCCAAAGGTCTGTTTCATTTGGCCTGTTACTTCCTTGTGCTCTTAGGCAAAAGCTAGGACTGGAGTCTTTTTTTTTTTTTTTTTTTTTTCTCCTCCTGTATTTCTCATTTTAGACTATCTTCTCCTGACACAGTTTCTGATTTTTCTTTTCTTGGTATTGTTTGAAAGCATTTTTCCACTATAGTTTGCTAAGTAATTATTGCCTCTGGGCAGTCTTGGGATTTTTAACTTCACTGCAGCTCTGACGCTTCTGATTTTTATTCTTAAAATGCATATAAACCTTTAGGTTCTGGCAATGAGATCAATGTCAGCAACGATTACAGCTTTTAAAAAAAAAACTGAAGCATTGCTAGCAATTTTTACACTCTTAACAGTTAATGCAAACAATAGACCGTGCATTACATTTGTTAAATTAGCTCCCAATAAAAATAACAGACTTTTTTTAAAAAAAAAATATTTTTTTTATTTTCCCATGGAGATGCTGTAATACTTGTATTAAGTGGCTTCTCAGTAATATAGCGTTAGAGTATACAAAGATGGTGTGTTTATTTCTCAGGATAAAGTTCACATTCCCGGTGCTATCTACCTCTCAATCAAATTTGACTCTCAGTGTAATACAGAAGAAGGCTGTGATGAGTTGCTCATGTCTAGCAGCAGTGATTTCCAGCAGGATCGGCACAGCTTCAGTGGATCTCCGCAGAAATGGAATGATTTTGAGCTTCCAGGTGAATACGCAGTGTTTTACAGTGCAAATGTATAGAGTATTGCCGGTATCCAGGACTCTTGAGAGAAACTACTGAAAGATAACAGTTAAATGCAGATGTTCCTGAGATATGGGGCGGGAATCCTTTTCTTGTCCCGATCTGTTTGCTCTGACGTGCTGCTCTTGCATTCGTTTCTTAAAAGTAGGCTTATCTGTTGTTCTGCTGCTTGACCTTTTTTTTCCACACCTCAGTCAAAGTATGCACTTAGCTACTGGAAACAAATTTTGATCTTGATTCTGTTCCAACACAGTCCTTGTTCTGCACGATATTCACTTACATTGTTTCTGCCTTGTCTTACTTTCCACAGGAAGCACATTAAAAAAAAAAAATCAACAAAAAAGATAGGCTTATCTCTCGTCTCTGTGCTGTACTAGTGCTCAAAGCAAATAGTGTGTGCCAATGCCTTGTCTCCAGTTGTTGCCACGGAGCATAGCTGTAAAAAAAAAAAAAAAAAAAAATCAGTAATTTGACTGACAACTTCAGTCTGTATTCTTTAATCACATTTTTGATAACGTAGTACTAAATGCTGGTGCGCTGAAGGACTGCATGGTCCCATGCTTCTTATGTTAAGTTGTTTTAACCCACTGAACTCGGTGGCACTGCAGGAAGCTTTTGACTTCGAGTGCTGTCAGTGGCTGTAAATAGATTTAGGAACTTTCTTAGCAAAGCAGTTTAGATTACAGCATGCTAGATAGAAATCAATGCGTGCTTTGTAGAAATATTTTGGATTATGAACTTCTTTCTGTCCTCCTTTTCCTCCCAAATAGTTGCAGCGGTTTTGCCAAGAAACTGAACTTTGAGGCCCATTGTTTTGGAGCCGCCTTGGCTGTGAAACTTGAGTTTCACCTTGTGAAACTTCATTTCCAGCCAAGGTTGTCTGGATTAAGGCATGTGATTTCCCTCAGCAGGCTTTAGCTGAAACCAGGCATTTTAAGCCTTCTGGGCTTTTCATTTGATGGTAGGGCTTTTCGCAAGACTCCTAGGAGTGGGAGAGAGCTATGACTCTATTTCATGATGAGAAGGGGAACAGGCTTTTGGTTTTGGGTTTTTTTTGTTTTGTGGTTTTGTTTTTTCAGAATATATATTTTCAGAATTTTTCTTCCACTTGAAACTTTGAAAATTCTGCTTCCCAATGAAAACCAGCATGCTTGTCCCAGAGTGATAAGATTTTTCATGGAACAGAAGGAAATTCTAAGTTTTAACCTGATCTAATATTACAGAGCGCAATAGGAAAGGATATGTTTTGCTTAGCATTACAGATAACTACCAGCATTTGTGAAGCCGTAGCTGCTAAGGTGACAAGAATTTCTTGAACGTTCCACTGCCTGATTGTAAAATGATTAAACGTTTTGATAGTTCTTCCACTTAGAGGAAGAGGTTAAGTTTAACAATTTTGTTAATTGTTTAATTCTGCAATTTAATTTTCTGACCTGTAAGAGCAGTGTAACTTTAGTTTCACAATTTTTTCACCTTTTGCATAATGGACTGTGAACTTGGCTGCCTATGTAGAGGTTCTTTTTTTCATAATTCATAACTGATCTCTAACACAATTGGAGAAGTGAAGTTTAACTGTGTACAGTATAGGGTTTCTTTAACTCCCTCTTCCGTGTAGTTGACAAAAATGTAAGAGACGATATCCTTGCAAGTATCTTTGTACAGCGGAAACCGTTCTGAGGGAACTGTGGTTGTTTAGCCTGGAGAACAGGAGGCTGAGGGGGGACCTGATTGCTCTCTACAACTACCTGGAAGGAGGTTGTAGCCAGGGGGTTGGTTTCTTCTCCCAAGTAACAAGCGACAGGACAAGAGCAAACGGCCTCAAGTTGTGCCAGGGGAGGTTTAGATTGGAGATTAGGAAAAATTTCTTCACTGAAAGAGTTGTCAAGCCCTGGAACAGGCTGCCCGGGAAAATGGTGGAGTCAGCAGCCCTGGGGGTATTTAAAAGATGTGTAGACGTGGTGCCTGGGGGGACATGGTTCGGTGGTGGGCTTGGCAGTGCTGAGTTAACGGTTGGACTTGATGATCCTAAAGGTCTTTTGCAGCCTAAATGATTCTATAATTCTATCATACTGTTTTGTGCATTTAATAATTATGAAACAGTAAAAGATCACCTCTCCTGAATGACAATATCCAGGGTTAATTTATTTTAATGACAAACTTTTCATTTTAATTGCATTTGTGATAGCAAAACTAACTCAGAAGGTTTTCATGGGGATTTTCTTCCCTTGTACACAGGAGACACACTCTATTACCGATTTACCTCTGACATGAGTAACACTGAGTGGGGTTATAAGTTTACAGTGACAGCTGGTCATCTTGGAAGGTTCCAGACAGGTAAGCACTGCTCAGCATGTATCTGATAGGAACTTTGGAGTTATTTTGCTGAGTTTTGACAGACTTGTGGTTATCCCTTTTTTGACTTAGAATTTGCTTTCTCCAGTGTTTTGGAAATAATGTGATTAGTTTTGTTCAAGTTGAAACTTGACTAGTGTCTCTTATTTGCTGTGACTTCATGCTAGAAATACCAAATCTTCAGAGGCTTGGAGATTACAATTATAATAATGTTATTTGTATTCAAAATCTCATTATATGACAATAATTACACACAGGATTTAGTAAACGTTCCAAGGTGCCGTAATTGGAAACAGAAATAATTGTAATTGTGTTTTTAAAAATTACTTATCCATTAAAATAGGCTGGTTCTGCATTTAATTTCTTGATATAGCATGAAAGGGTTTGTTAGTTTATTTCAGAGTTTAAATATTTTTGATGAAATTGAGGCTGGTGGATGATTTGCAATCGGCAAAACTCTACTGCATGTCACATAATAGTGGGGGCCTGTGTTTTGTTTGCCTTATTCAGGCAAAACTTTATTTTCAGATAGGATTCTTTCTAATTTTTATCTAAGTTTTGCCCCAGAAAATACTTGCAATGTCAGGATGTAATCTACAATTATCTCAGATTTTTGTTTGGTATTTTTCTTTGATATTTTTCTTTGATATTTCTGCCTTGCTGGAGCAAAACTTAGTATATGGAGAAGAGAAAACTGAGTGTTTGAACGGAATGAGACCCAACAAAAGTAACAGCTGTTTGAATTTTTTTTTTTCCCCAGGGTTTGAAATTCTAAAGCAGATGCTCTCTGAGGAAAGGGTAGTTCCTCACCTCCCACTGGCCAAAATCTGGGAATGGCAGGTCGGGGTAGCATGCCGTCAGACTGGTCACCAGCGTTTGAAGGCAATCCACTTGCTCTTGAAGATAGTGCAGTGCAGCGCCCAGAGGTAAGCACACGGTTCTGCCTTGCGTGCTGAAAGGCAAAGGGCAGGAGAAGAAAGCACCTAAGCCAATATTATTCCAAAGCCAGAAACCGTTATGGAAAGGAGGAATTCTTAATTTGCCTTTCAAATGGATTTCACAGTGCTTTGATAGCAGAAACTTCTTACAAGATTTTTGTTTCGGAAAACATTTTCTCTTCTTGGCTTTTAAAAAGGTCCAGTGAATTCAAATGTTGTTGTTAAAAATAAATAAATAAATAAATATCACCCCGAAACAGGGCAAAAAAATAGATTCCAATTTTCTAGAAATTTATTCTCTTTGTATTCATTGTACTTCAGAATTAAGGTGAGGATTGACTAATAAACTGGTGAAATGATGATCTGATTCTCTTATGTAGTAAATAACTTTAAAAATATTATTTTTTGTTGTACCACTGCAAAGCCTGTAATTGAGTTTCAGAAGGGATAGGTGTGCTAATGCTTAAGTATGTATGGCACGGGTATTTCTTATGAAAATACTTTTTGAAAAAAATGTTGAGTTTTTATAGTGTCATGCAAATGTGTATAGTCACATTAACTCAACAGAAGTGCTGGAAAGAGACACAACAGTGCTGACAAGCAAAATCATGAAAATAAGTGTCCTACTAGCTTATTTTGATAGATCAAAAAGTATATTCACATATAGTAATAAAAATAGACAATTACATAGAACCATTGCTTGGCTCTCTGTAAATATTAAGTACACTGATCTGCATCCAAATCTGAAAAACTGATTTTGGTGTTCCTTTTAATCAATGATTTATTATCTTTTGAAGTTCCTTTAGTTTTTTTAATCAGAAAATGTCTGATTTGTCATGTGGACAACAAATTTAATTGCTAAAAGATCAAGTCTCTGTTGTACTGAGAATATTTACATTTTTCTTGTGTTTATCTGATGACACAGGTTCTGAAATTGAGTTTCCCCCTTTTTCCCCCCTACTGATAGGTATTTGTCATCCTATCTGTCCGATAAGTGACTTTTGGGTTAGCTAGCTTTAACTCAGGAGTAGGAGGGAGACAGGGTTGGAAATGTTTGCAAAGCTATATATCCATTTTTGTCTGTTTGCCTGAAACAAGAACATCACCTGCCCAGTGCTGTGGTTTGGTATTGCATAATTTCAAGCAGTGGAGCCTAGAGCATTTAGCAAAGTGATGTATATAGTTATTTTAAAGTCCTCATTTCAGGAGGCCGCTCAGTTTTAGAAAAGTCATTTAGGCATACTCAGGGATATGAGGTTTTCTCCACTGATTCTGAATGAAATTCATTGTGCTGAAACACCTGACTGAATTTAATTCTGAAAAGGCTTCTTGTGTTTCTTCCTTTATTTATACATCTGTCAAAACTGTATGGTTTTGTTCTCTTAAATTTGTTGGAGTTTTTTGTTTTTCTTCCACAAATGGGCATAAAATCATGGTTACTCATTATTTCATTTAAATTACTTTTTTTTCAGGGACTGTGACCTCACCTTGTTGAAGCCGCTTTGGCAGCTTTTCACCCATATGGAAAACAACTTGTGTCATGACATGACCAAGCCTGGTATTCTCCTTCCTCTTCATCGTGCACTTGCAGAACTCTTCTTCGTTACAGAAAACAGAGTTACTGTAAGCAGTTCCTGTATTTGTATCCCTCCTCTCCCCAGTGCTGGGAATGATAAACTAAATGCAGTTTTCCTTTATCTTGGCAAAGTTCATCAGAGCTTTAGAAACATTAAATGCTTCAGAAACATTAACAACTTCCTCTTGTGGAGTCTGGTAGTTCTAATGGAGGGACATACTGTTGCCTTATCCATCGTGGGACCTTAAGTAATAGTCATGACTCTTCCTTGTGCAATGAAGGCAGTAGGCCCTAAAGCCACTCTTTATTCTGGGAGGAATGCTGATTTAATAATTAATTTGAAGGTATTTGAATGTGGTTCTGCTTGAGTTGATTTTGAACATTACATCTGAACAGTCCCTAATGAACTGATTCCTGTGGGCGCAAACTGTGTCCAGGAGAGTCTTGTGTGTAGTTCTGGTACCTCCGATTCTTGGGCACTGCTACAATGATCAGCATTTTAATGTTAATTACTAGGATTATATCTTTGGTAGAAACGTTGGTGTTCATTGAATGCTTTCTGGTTGCAGGAGCTTGGATCTCTACAGGAGTATTTGCTTGCCTTAAATACTGAAGATCATCTTCATCGCTGCACAGCACAGGTAATGAGATTGCACAACCCCAGAGATGCGTGGTTTTGTGGTATTTTTCTGGCAGACAGAGATAATGAATGATTTCTGATTGCCCAGTGGAGTTTTATGAAGTAGTTGTAAAGGTACTTGAGCTTTACAATACCATGACAGGCCTTTGAAATTTGTGAACGAACTATACGCAAACGCTGTTCTCCTTCAACAGTCGGACGATGTGCCACAAACTGGCTGTGGGGTGTATCAGGTGTATCTGTTTTAGCGAGCTGACCTCTCAACTGCCAAAACATGGAAACAGGGAAGGCAGCTGGTCTTTCAGCAACTGGAAATGCAGTTGCCTTGCTGCGCCTGCCTAGGTGCATGACAATTACTGGTAGAAACAGGATGGTTATTTACCTCTTCCTCTTTAATTTCATACAAGGATTTCTGTACAGTTTGGGACTGGGGAGAATCTCTGATGTGATTCTGGTTTTTTTTCCTTCTCTCTTCTAGGCCCTGAAAAACATTGCTGCTATCAGCCTTGCCATTAACTATCCGAACAAATCAACAAGTTTCTGGAATGTTTAATACTGGCTCAGGCCGGAGTGCATGGGATAGAGTAGTTTGTCCATAGGAACCTTGGAACAAACATCTTAACTCCGTTCAGGAAAAGTTCCTTCAGCTTCAGTATATGAGCACTCTGCAGCCTTCCTTCCTTCCACCTTGATGTAGAATTTGTAAAAGTAAAAGCGCACTTCAATGACAAAGCACATCTTGAAGTAACTCATGCGTCGCCTACAGTTATGTATGCACATATTGTAGCATGTTAGAGTAAACAGAACAATATTTTTTTTTTATTGAGAGGAAGTAAACAAAAGAAGGTAGCTGAAGTATGAGAATGAAGGCCCCCGCGTTCGTATCATCTGCTCCCAAGGAAACTTGATTGATGGAACGTGACAGCTTTGAAAATATCGCTGAGCTCGGAGTGATGCCGTCAGCAGCATCTATTCTATATCATTGAAGTGAAATAGGCAAACCGGAATCTGGCGGGCTGATACAGAAATGGTCCACACTTGAATCCTGTCATGTTTACTTTTGCTTTGAAGGCTACTACCCAAGGAAAAGAACTTTAATTTTTACTAAACTACAGGTTGTAAAACAAATTCTGATTCACATAGCAGTTAAAGGATTCCAGTTTCAGAGCATCCTCATCCAAGAGGTTAATGTTTCTCCTGTTCTCCGATTCAATCAGCTGGATCTTCTATTCTTACCTTAATTTATCTCCAATGTGTTATTCTAAATAATACGTTATTCTAGCGCAGAGAGCAAAGGCTGGCCTCCATTCACAAAGCAGTGGTAATATGAAGAATTGAGGAACTTACTTGTTTCTTGAAGATCACATCTTTACAAGATACTATTCACAAGGCTTTTTTTTTTTTTTTTTTTTTAATTATTGTGACACTAGTGGCTGAGGAGGTCCCTCTTGGCAATGTTGGGAACCCGGACTCTCAGCACTCAGGGTGGGGGTTAATGATCAATCCAGTCTTATCTTATAGAGCAATAACTGCATTACTCTTAGTGAACATGGAATGAATTGCAGGCCTTCTATGCTGAAATAAATTGGCTTTCTTCCTGCTCAGCTACACTGGCTATTCCCTTTCCAGAGAGTTAAAAAGAACATAAAAGAATTTGGGGGTGTGTTTTGTATACATTATACAGTACGTAGAGCTGGTCTTGTCAAGTATGAATTTAGAGAACTTTTTATGCTAATTATATTCTTCTTCCCTTCCTCACCTCAACATTAAAATACAAAAAAAAAAAAAGGCAACCAAAAGCTTCAGAAGTAACTAAAGGCAGTGGCTCTGTCAGAAGGGAATATGCTTACTGACCTTGCTTGTCCAAAAGGTGAGTGGTGCCTAAATAACAATGTGCACAGGAGCACCGCTTTGGGCATGGCCTCCGAATTCATGCTCTTCTCAGCTGGGGCTGGAATTTTAAGGGTGGTCCAATCTCCCTCTGAGAGGGAAACGTGTAGTAATACATCCCCTTTTTTTGGATGGCCTCTAGTGCTGTAGTTAAAGATGTTCTGACCTCTGTTCAGCCAGGTGAGTGCAAAGTGAACGCTTCTTCAGGGGATGAGGTTGAATCTACCTGAAAGACTTAAAACCGAAGACCAAGAAGCACTATGCTGAAGCCATTGCCTTCAGGAATGGAGTGGCCCTCTTAGCAAATGAGAATGCCAGAATTCAGGAAAAACATACTGTTTATCAAAGACTGAAAGGAGGCGGAGAGATAGTGCTCTGAAACACCTCCTCAGGTATACTGTAGTTGAAGGTCGAAGCCCTCCTTCCTTCCAGAATGAGATCGCGATGGGAAGGGAATTATCAAAGTTGTGGCGTATCTTTAACTCATGGATCGTTTTGTTCCCACATCTGAGTCACGTATTTGAGTTTGCAGTCTCACTGCAGGGGTGTCTGAGAGATCCCCGAGGAACCAACTGTTTCACACTTTCCAACAGCATGAACGGATTCTGGGAACGGGGAGTTGCTCCACCAAAACAAGATGTTCTTAAAGTGTACCTTAGGGAGTCGTATCGATGGGACAGGTGAGCGTTTTGAAATTGCTCTTCTTGAGCAGTAGGACTTTCTATTCACTGCCTCAGTGTGAATCCATGGCTAAGAGGTCAAGGATGTGCAATGGGCTGATTTGCTAAGGCGTGTAGCATGCTGCTGAGATCTGCCTGGTATAGTCAAAGAAGGCTCTTTTCTTTTTTCACATCAGGGATGAAGACTGTAAATAAACCATTCAGAGAACCTGCCATGGCTCTGTCATATTCACATTTTTTTTCCGTTGGACTGTCTTTTTGCTTTCTGTATGAAGACGTGAGGCTGCAAGGATGACGCAGGAGTGGCCAGTGTTCCTTACTAGGCATACCGCTTCACTTACTCTACCAGCAGTAACTGGCCTTGTGAGTCAGTCACCTTGCCCTGAAGGGACTGTGTAGGAACAGTGTCCACTAAATATAATTTCTACCCACTAGATGGAACTGAAGGACTGTGACCTGAGTTGACACTGAATCTGTTGCTGCCTTACAACTCAATCATTCATTATGGATTTTTTAAGAGAAACACTGATTTTTTTTTTTAATTTTTTTTTTCCTTCGGATAGTTTTAAAGCAAGAGGAAGAGAATACCAATAATCAATATTCATGATCAGTCACATTTTGAAAGTCCTGCAGCAGTTCCAAGTGGATGCGGATGATACCATTGAATAGTATAAAACTGTCTGGAAAACAGGTATGCTGAAAAAAATGTGCCTAATATAAAAAAAAAAAAGCGCAAACACAAAAAACAACAAAAAAGTTGTCCTGCCTGAATCACCTATGATGTGTTTAAAACAAACCATAATGTTCCTAATGATGCATTTGACTTGCTTTCATTAAACACTTAAAAGAGAGTTTTATAATTTCTTTTCGTACGGGTTTACTACTTCGCAATTTTTATCAGTTGTTTAAAATATATCAGACCTTTAGATTTATTCCACTTCAGTTCAACATGTAAAAAGAAAGCTATAGATGTGGGTAAAATATGCAAATGAAGATAAATATATTGTAAAAATTCTATAAAAACGAAAAAGTACAACACAGTGTCTGTTTTTTGTTTGCTTTTCTCCTCTCCTCACTGAATGTTAAATGCTTGAATTTACAGTGAGATGCAGGGTTCTTCTTAGGAATCTTCAGTGCCTGTAAGCAAACGTGCTTTTCCTTTGGCGGTTAGTATTGATCTGATACTGCATCGAACTGTGCAGGATACGTACTACTGGAGTCGTCTCTTGAATCCCAGCCCTGCTGTTTACATTCCAGCAGCCTTATCCTAAACCCGACGTTTTCCCATGGATACCCATCGGTGTCAGTTCCTGTGCTTATTTACTTTCAGACCTGAAACACACATCTGGGGCCCCAGATGTCTCATGTAAAGCTGAGGTTTGCCTTCCTACCTCTTGATTCTAATTAGTGGTGTTTATCAGCGAAGGTGCTTGTACCTACCTAGTCTCGTACCTAGTTTAAAAGCTTATTTACCTTGGTTTTGGCTTGAGGAAAGGCTTGTTCAGGGTAGCGTGAGGATGTCGACGTCTTTTTGTATTTACCCAAAGCTGTAGGTTGTTTCCACTGGTTCCACGTGCTCAGAGAATGGTCTTGATGGGTGCTTTTATTAAATACAAATAAATGGCATGAACTGTGAAGTTGTGGGGGAGCAGGGACTGTTCCCTGAGACAATCAGATTTGAGGTTTCAGCCTCAGGGTGATAAAGCTAACAAATGGAGTTTAATCTGCTATTAAATGTCATGTGGTCCCAGGCACTGGAATGTAACAGATCACAACCATAATGTTTGGGAACTGCTGTTCTTCAGATCAAGTTAATTAAGACTATTTTTCTTACAGCCTAATTTTGATCTCTTGGAAGCTAACTTACAGGTGGGTGATCTTTTTTTAACCTAATTTTAGGAGAAGGCTACAGTGTGTTTAAAGCAGAACTGGCCCAACGCCCCGCGGTGGCGGGGAAGCCATCGGCACAAGCATCACACCTTATTTTCATGGGACACGCAACCACCCCAGCCATGGGAGCCTATATAAAGTTTGACCTGGTCTTTAGGTAAAGCTACTAGAGTGTTGGAAAACAGATTAATGTGTGCAAAGAGGATGCTTTTCAATGCTTGGCCAGTTAGTCTATAAGAGGTCAGGCTGGATAATAACTGGAACAAAGAATGTACATTGGTAAAAAGGCCTGGAAAAACAGGAGCTGTGGGGGAAAACAGAAATCTGGCCCACCTCTGGATTTAAAGCAAAGAAGTCAATTCCAATTCAAGCGAATAAGAGAGAAATCCACTGTGAATAGGGAAGGAATTGAGTAAGAGGTGAAGGAAGTAAGATTAAAACTCATTCTTTCCATGACTGTCGGCTCTAATTTAATCAGGTCTATTCTGCAATAATCTTTCCTGAATTATACCTAAGAAAGCACAAACAGTAAAAAGTTGATACCGAGCTCAAACCCAGGCTGCAATGTTGTGGTGGGACTCATAAATGGGTATGCAATCTAAGGAGGAATAAACACTTAAAAACCCTCTAAAAACCTTATTTCCTCCAACTGGAAACATCAACAAGCATTCCTGATGAATAGATTGAAATCTCAGACAGTTTTGTAGTGGTCTTTAGCATTTAGAGGTTTGTTCTTTTTATATTCAGAGGCTGAGAACGTTTGGATTTAGGGAACACGGGAAAAGAAGTGGAGAAAGGATAACCAGACTGTCTTGGAGACGGTCTTTCCGCCTATAACTGCTAGGCAGTTTGCTGAGGACCTTCTCCTACTGATGCTTTTCTGAAGACAGCCCTTTGCGTTTCTCAGATGGTGTTTACTCTCTTCCAGGGGCTGTTGGTAAAGTTGGTACTAAACATCGCACCTCCTTACTACTCCGTGCCTAGTATCTGACACGCAAAATTCTTTTCTCTCTTTGTATTGAGTCCTTCCCCTTCAACGCACCTCTGGCTTGGAGCTCAGCTTTCACCTCGCTGCCTTTCAGGCACCTGAAGGTTTTAACCTCCTCGACCACGTGTAATTTCTAGGAACCAACAAAACACCTTTTTGGACTCCAAAGGAGCTGCTGCTCTGTTCATGTAGTGCCTTTGCTGCCGCAGCAGGAGCGTGGACAAATGCGAAACAAAGTGAAAAGAGGCAAAGTGATGGGCAGCGCTTTTTGGTAAATATTTTATTTAAATATATTCCCCATGTGTTTTTAGCCAGACCCAGTAAGTTTCCTCAGACTGCACGCCAGAGTTATTTCTGTGCTGATGGATAGCTGCTGAGCGTTGTGGGGCCGTGCAAGTACGGGTTGTAGTGCAGGTACGCCAGCAACCACAGGTTGTTGGAGCTTGGTCTGAATTTCTGGGTGACAGATCCCGTGTTAATGCCTGAGGAATCGCAGGAAATGCTTCCCCTTATGACTTCAGATTTTCTAATCAGTAAAAGCATCTTCTACACATTTTTTTTCTCTCCAGTAAGTTGTCTCCTGTGGTGTAACACATAATAGGAGGACTTCAATATGCATATGTAGCTAGACATTTATTAGGGCTTCAGTTCATCACCGTGCTTATCTTAGATTAAATTAAACATGGAATTAAGGTGTAATCTTAAGCACATCTAGTTAAGAGTTTAAAGGTAGGC